AAGAAGAAGAAGAAGAGATTGGATTTATACCCGCCCTTCACTACCCAAAGGAGTCTCAGAGCGGCTTACAAACTCCTTTCCCTTCCCCTCCCCACAAGAGACACCCTGTGAGGTAGGTGGAGCTGAGAGAGCTCTGACAGAAACTGCTCTTTTTCAAGAACAGCTCTTATCAGAACTATGGCTTGCCCAAGGTCATCCAGCCAAGTGCAAGTGGAGGAGTGGGGAATCAACCCCGTTTCTCCCAGATTAGAGCCCGCACACTTAACCACTACACCAAACTGGCTTATTCACTAGCCTCTATGCCACACTAGCCCCTGCTAACCCTGACTTTACACACAGGGTTATTTTCAAGTCTGCAAATAAGATTAGGTCAATGAAAGGGTTTGGACTGCAAGTTGCTAAGCTTTTTTATTACCAAAAAATGAGGGCGATGCGGGTGCGGGCGCCGGTCTTTTACACGGTTGATATCTATTCATCATTAAGCAGGGATGTAGCCAAGGAGGATTTGAAGCCAAAGGGCAACAAGTAAGTCACATAATTAAGTTCAAAGCACATCTTATCTTAGGTCCCTAGAGGGAGAAGTAATGTGAAGCTTTGCTTTCGACCTTGGAAATGTTCTTTGGGAAACCTGTAGCTTTGCCACGCTCCAGTTACAATCTTTATGGGTTTTTCTCCCCCTGATCGAAGGCCATGAAAAACCTTTCATTATCTTAAATGGAAGCCAGATCAAAAGAACAATTGACTTAGTTTGGCTCGAGTCTCTGTGAGGTCATCAGAACGTACCAGCAGACTTCAGGACTGGGGATGAGATGTTTTCTAACTATTGGAGTGAAATTCTGCCATGCCCTTTTGCCCCTACCTGGAACAACCCTGTAATAGAAGAACCTCATTGACCTGAAAGCCAACCTGGATACATTTAGGAAACCCATGGACAGCTTTAATCTCCTGTCCCTAGCATCGAGAAACAAATATTGTGTCCCTAGTGTTGAGAAACAAGTGTCTTCCCTTCTCCTCTGCAGGGTATGGGGTTGCCAGGTCCGACTCAGGAAATATCTGGGGACTTTGGGGATGGAGCCAGGAGAATTTGGGGGTGGAGCCAGGAGCAAGGATGTGAGATCACTTTTGTGATGTCCAGGGCTATTTTGGGGCAGGAACGCACAGGAATGGAGTTCCGGCTGGCTCCCAAGTTGGCCACGCCCAGCAGGAACTCATTAGCATAGTAGGCTACACCCAACAGCAGAAACTCATTTGGATTGGCTACAATTAGGGGTGTGTGGCCTAACATGCAAAAAGCCCTGGGTTTTGACAACAAACAAGGTAAAGAGAATAAGAAGCAAAAGATGGGTGTGGCTGGATAACCACACTTCTAGTAACATGGGTGTGTGGCCTAATATGCTAATGAGCTGTGCTGTCAGGGGTGTGGCCTAATATGCTAATGAATCCCTGCTGTTGGGTATGGCCTATTATGCTAATGAGTTCCTACTGGGCTTTTTCTACAAAAAAAAAGCCCTGGTGATGTCACTAGGGTTGCAAGGTGAGGCTGACAAGCCGGAAGGGAGTTCTGGCCGTCCCACTTAAAGGGACCGCATTCCTTTACAATGCATTCCCTCCACTGGAAATAATGGAGGATGAGGGCACCTTCTTTGGTGGCCTCATCCCCAGTTCAATCTTTTTGAAATTTGGGGGTTTTTTTTCTGGAGAGGCACCACCAGCTATGCTGGAAATTTGGTGCTTCTACCTCAAAAAACAGCCCCCCCCCTGAGCCCGAGATACCCACAGACTGATTCTCCATTATATCTTATGGGGACCGGTCTCCATAGGGTATAATGGAGTGCCCAGTGCCCTTCCCCCCCGCTTTCTGACAGCCCTGAAGCAGGGGGAGGGGCTCCAAACCAGGGGATCCCTTGTCCCCATCTGGGGATTGGCAGCCCTAGCAGGGTCTAATGCCACAGAGTCCACCTTCCTAAGTGGCCAGTTTCTTCAGAGGAACTGATCTCTGTCATCTGGAGATCAGTTATAGTTCTAATAGATCCCCAAGCCCCACCTGGAGGCTGTCAATCCTAGACCAACTCACCTTTCCTTATGCTCTCTCACAATGCTCACTGGTGGTGGGGGGGGCTCTTGCCTCTCAATCGCAGCTCAGTGGTGGCAGCTGTTCATTGGTGCAGATGGTAACTTGCTACTGATCATGCTCCCAGTGGGTACCACTGGGAATGACCCATACTCATTCTAATTAGGAAAGAGAAGGTGGTTCGCTTGGTGGGGACAGTGCTGCAGGGAGGTCCAAACCTGTCCTTTAGCCCTAACCCTGAAAGTCCCCGCTCAAAGGGTCATCTCGTAGGGTTCCTTATACAGTGTTTTTGTACTTACTTTGTTTGAACTTTCATCTACAATGCGTACTCCCAAAACGTGTACTCTTGCAGAGAACATTCAGGGTAATGAACCAAATGAATGGTTTGAAAATATCTGAGATCTTATTTGAACATGTCAGAAGCAAATTTCAAATGACTCCCCCCCCACCCCGGGTCAAAACAGCAGGGATAAGAAACTCAGCAATCATTCCCTGGGGTGCAGAATCACTTGACGTTTCCCAAGGCTGCTCGTAGTGTTTATGCTGTCACACTGAATGCACCCTTCCTTATCCCAGGACCAGAGATTTTGCTAATATCCTCACTGAAGGGTATGAACACTGGCAGTTGCCTTCCACCGAGGGAGACCATTGGTCTATCCAAGTCAGAGTGGTCTGCTCTGGCCTGCAGTGGCTCTCCAGGGTCTCAGGCAGAGGGCTTTCCCATCACTCACTACTGGTTCCTTGGTGCTTGGGGGGGGCATGGTGGGAGGGCTTCTGGAGTTCTCACTCCTCCTGATTGTTGGAATAGGCAAGGTCTATAGTGCAACCTAGGGTGGCCAGGCCCCGTACCTCTGCTGGTGGAGGGCTTTGTGGAGTGTTTTTTTTTGGGGGGGGGAGACACTGCGTGACATCCCCAACATGACGTCACCTGGAGGTGTCATCATGCTCTGGTATTTGGGCAAAACTCTATGGTGACATTTCTGGCATGATGATGTCACTCTCAGGTGTAGGGTTGCCAAGTCGATCTTCGCTGGGAGCGGGGGGCTCCCGTCTGGCGTCTGGTGCGCGGAAGTGACGTGACGACGCCAGGCACGCTGGGGGCGGGGCCACGGCCATACAAGGGAAAGCCATAGAGTTTTCCCTTGGATGGCCATGGCCCCGCCCCCAGCGTGCCCGGCGTGGTCGCGTCACTTCCAGGTGTTCACGTCGGGGAGGAGTTCCCCCCGGGGCCCGATCCGGCGGCACTGGGGAACGGGCCTCTAGGGCGGGGGTTTCCCCACCCCCCGGGGGGACTTGGGAAGCCTACTCAGGTGAGATCATTGTGTTGGGGGCGGTACTTCCGGTTTTACCAGAAGTTGCCCAAAAATGTCATTTGGGGGCGGGATTCTCCCCTGCTGGCCAGGGGTAAGGGCTGCAGTGGCTCAAGTAGTTAAGACGCTGAACTGCAGGCTGTGGAAGGTCAGTAGTTCAGCAGTTCGAGACCCGAGGGCCGCATGACGGAGTGAGCTCCTGTCTCTAGTTCCAGCTCCTGCCAACCTAGCAGTTCAAAAGCAAGAAATTGCAAGTAGATAAATAGGTACCACTTCGGTGGGAAGGTAACAGCGTTCCATGCGCCTTGGTGTTTAGTCATGCCGGCCACATGACCACGGAAATGTCTTTGGCCAGCGCTGGCTTTTTAGCTTGGAAACGGAGATGAGCATCGCATCCTTAGAGTTGGATTCGACTGGCTTTCGAGCAAGGGAAACCTTTACCATTACCTTTTACTATGGTTTCTTGTTTTCAAAACCATAGCGTTTGCCCAAATACCAGAGTGTCCCCCTATGTGACATTTCCGGTGTGATGATGTCACTCTCAGGTGAGATCATTGTGTTGGGGGTGGTACTTCCAGTTCTAACAGAAGTTACCAAAAAATGTCATTTGGGGGTGAGATTCTCCCCTGCTGGCCAGGGGGACAGCTGAAGGACTTGTAGTTATCACAGCAAGTTTAGGGACTGCCCATTATTTCAAATTGTGTCAGTGCTGTCTCCTAAATGGCTCTTCTGGAGACTTCCTGCTCCTGAAGAGAAGAAGAGAAGAGATTGGATTTATACTCTGCCCTTCACTACTCAAAGGTGCCTCAGAGCGGTTTACAAACTCCTTTCCCTTCCCCTCCCCACAACAGACACCCTGTGAGGTAGGTGGGGCTGAGAGAGCTCTGACAGAAACTGCCCTTTCAAGAACAGCTCTTATCAGAACTATGGCTTGCCCAAGGTCATCCAGCCAGGTGCAAGTGGAGGAGTGGGGAATCAAACCTGGTTCTCCCAGATCAGAGTCCGCGCACTTAACCACTACACCAAACTGGCTTTCCTGCAGAGCTTCCTGTTGCTCGTTGTTCTTCTCACAGCAGTTAGGCTAGACCAGGGGTGTTAAACATAATAGCTTGGACTCTAATCTGGGAGAACCGGGTTTGATTCCTCACTCCTCCACATGCAACTGCTGGATGACCTTGGGCAAGCCATAGTTCTGACAAGAGCTGTCCTTGAAAGGGCAGTTTTGGAAAGAGCTCTCTCAGCCCCACCTACCACACAGGGTGTCTGTTGTGGGGAGGGGAAGGGAAAGGAGTTTGTAAGCTGCTCTGGGACTCTGAGTGAAGGGTGGGGTATAAATCCAATCTCCTCTTCCTCCTCCTCCTCTTCTTCTTCTTTTTCTCCTCCTCCTCCTCTTCTTTTTCTCCTCCTCCTTCTCCTTCTTCTATGTTCTATAACAGCTTGTTCTTCTTTAAATAAACCTACTTAATTTTTTCTGAACAGTCAGTGCTCTACTTCCTGTGCCAACTCTGCCAACACTGATGGCACTTGGGTTTTGGCCACTGTGTGACACAAGAGTGTTGCACTGGATGGGCCATTGGCCTGATCCAGTATGGCTTCGCTTACGTTCTGATGTTCTTAGCTGGAGATGCCAGGGATTGAACATGGGACCTTCTCCATCCCAAGTAGATGCTCTACCACTGAGCCACAAACCCTTCCTTCTTTGCTCTAAGAACCTCTGGCCATGTCCAAGCGTTACCTGCAAACAGAAAGAAGAAAGAGAAACATAGCTAATTATGAGAACTTCCCATTTTATGAAGAAAGGGAAGTTGAGTGATATTGGATGCTTGCACGCTAAGCAGGTGCTCTGTTAGGGAGCCGCAGCCCCCATCCTGTAAACTGAATTCCGATCTGCTTGTGCTTTAGGTGAAGGATGGCCAACTTCTGTAGTGTCTAGGGTTGCCAGCTCTCGTTTGGGGAAATCTGGAGACTTTGGCAGTGGAGGCTGGGAAGGGCAGGGTTTGGGGAGGGGAGGGACCTCGGCAGGATATAATGCCATAGAATCCATCCTCAAAAGCCGCCGTTTTCTCCAGGGGAACTTGATCTTGGTCGTCTGGAGACCGACCGTGATAGCGAGAGATCTCCAGGTGCCACCTGGAAGCCGGCAGCCCTCGCTGTCTCTTCCTCATCAGTTCTTACAAGGAACGAGGACTTTGGATGTCATAATCAAGCCAAAACCATGTATCTGTTTCAGGCTTCACAGTTATGGAGCCCATATGCTCAGGCACAGCGTGACATTTTGACACAGAACCCAAAAGGGAGGTGGAACATCAGTGTGTAGGTTCTCTGTTTCTTATAACTTGCAAACATTTTGGGTAGGGCCACGGTGGGCCAGAGAAACTGCTTTGGGGAGGGGGAGGACAGAGCATCCAGCCCCCTGGTCTGCCAGCTGGCCATCTCATAACCAGACACACACGTGGCATGTGTGGATTTCCCCCCCTCTACACCCAGTTGGCAGATGCAACGAGTTGCCAAAACATGTCAGCAAATGAATATGCCTCGTTCACACTCAGCGGTGCGCTGACTGTCAAGCCACCGAGCTGTTTTTTGTTAAATTGGATCGGTGTGGCGATTCCTGCTCAGGCCTCCTTGGACGGCTATTGATATGGGCCAGTTGCTGCAGAAGTCTGCAGCGAGGCATTCTGGCAGCCAATGTTTCCCGATAGCGTCTGAGAACAGAGGTCCGCCATCTTCTGAATCGAAAACTGGAGGCCGATTTCTTTCTGATACTCAAAAACATTGCTTTCGGAGAGTCAAACGAGGCAGTTTACTGTTAGATCTGAATCTAGTGGCACCTTAGGGGCTAATAAGATTTTCAAGGTATAAGCTTTCCTATCTGACAAAGGGAGTTTTGAGTTGTAAAAGCCTATACCCTGAACATCCTATTGGTCTCTACGGTACGAAAGGCAGTACACAGGAGACGTGGGTATTAATCCCCTGACCTTAAAAAAGAAATGAAAACCAGCCTTTGAGCCAGTAATCTTGACCGAAGGAATGCTAAGAACATTAGAAGAGTCCTGCTGGATCAGACCGATGGTCCATCTAGTCCAGTATTCTGTCTCGCACAACAGCCAACTGGGACAAAAAAAGGAGGGGGGGAACTGAACCTAAAACCTGGAATCCAGAACCTAAAAAAGGTTAGTCAAATGCAAAAGAGGGCCAACAATAAAAGCTTAGTATATGAAATATATAAAAAAGATACATGTATTTATTAAACAAAGATTTTAAAATTATATATAAGGGCCCAATTACACTTCATGTACAAATAACAAATTATAACACACAAGAGATGATAGATTTGACCTGACGCGTTTCGGCCTGCATAGGCCTTCTTCAGAGGTCAAATATACTGAGGAACATATTGGCTAAACAATCATGCAGATACAAGATATAAAATCAACAGGGACCAGAAAAAAGTTGTTCCAAACTGAGACCACTCGGCACAGAATAAAAGTACAAATGAGGCCTCCAACAGTGTAATCACGTGCCAAGTGGTGTTTTTCTGGCATAAATTTCTGACCCAGAAATTGCCTTCCTACGATTGTTTTGCCAAATGTCCTCAATAGAATTGTCCTCCCCTGAGGTTGCCTCCTGGCTCGGGGATTCAGAGGTTTAGTGCCTCTGAATGTGGAGGTTCCCCTCAGCCACCTTGGCTAGTAGTTCCAGGTGTGTAGCCCTGTTGGTCTGAAGCAGTAGAACAAAGTTTGAGTCCAGTGGCACCTTTACGATCAACAAATTTTGGTCTTAAAGATACCACTGGACTCAAATTTCCCTCCCATACATGCACCCTCCACCCTCCAAAGCATCCATTTTCTCCTGGGGAACTGATCTCTATAGCCTGGAGATGAGCTGTAATTCTGGGGGATCCCCAGGTCCCACCTGGAGGCTGGCATCTCTATGTGAAACAGACCCTTGAGGTTATTTCTTTATTATTTGTTTTAAAGATGTCTATATGCCACTTCTCCAGAGAAGCGGCTCAAGGCAGCTTGTAACAGAAAACCCAAATGAAAACAATCCCTCCAACCAAAACGAACCCAGGCAGCACCCCCGCCCTCAGTCCAGACATAAAAACCAGTGACCCATCAGAAATAAGAAAGAAGAAAAAACCAGGCTAATAGCACCATACACCAGAGGGAGCACAGACCATGGAATCTGTAAAATATGCAAAAAGATATTAAAGCCACCAGTTAATGGGGTGGGCTAAATTCTGGGGGTGGAGCCCGGGGAGGTGGGTTTTGGGGTGGGGAGGGACTTGAGCAGGGTATAATTCCATACTAGAGCTGCCAGGTCTGGGTTGGAAAATACCTGGAGACTTTGGGGGTGGATCTAGGAGAGGGCGGGGCAGGGCTGCCAAGCCGCGGCGGGGGATCCGTGCGTCTTCACAGGATCCCTGCCGCGGGGGACAGCGATACACGTTGCACCGCCGTCGCCAGGATGTGACGCTACGCGTCGCTCTGGCAACGGGACTCCAAACAGGTTTGGGGAGGGGAGGGGCCCCTGCACAGTACAGTGCCACAGAGTCCACCCTCCAAAGCAGCCATTTTCTCCAGGGGAGCTGATCTCTGTCAGCTGGAGATCAGTTGTAAAAGCAGGCGATCTCCAGCCCCCACCTGGAGGCTGGCAACCCTATGCCATACAGCCCACCCTCCAAAGCAGCCATTTTCTCCAGAGGAATTGACCTCTGTAGTCTGGAGGTCAGTGTGGTATGTTCCAAAGGCCCTTTTCCTTCCTCCTCTGCTGGCAATTTTCTAAGACAGGGGCCTGTATCCTACTAGTCCGCTAAGCAGAGTTCCACCAGTTTGGTGTAGGGGTTAAGAGCACAGACTCTAATCTGGGAGAACCAGGTTTGATTCCCCACTCTTCCACATGCAGCAAACCGGATGACCTTGGGTCAGTCACAAGTTCTGCCAGAGCCTGTTCTCTCAAGAGAAGTTCTCAAAAGAGCTCTCTCAGCCCTACCTACCTCACAGGGTGTCTGTTGTGGGGAGGGGAAGGGAAAGGAACTGTAAGCCACTCTGAGACTTCTTTGGGTAGTGAAGGGTGGGGTATAAATCCAATCTCTTCTCTTCCTCTTCTTCTTCCCCAACAGAAGAACCTCTTTTTTTTTTTAAAGCCCATTTTAGGCTGGTAGTTCCTCCTTCTCAGGTGGGCTACCACCCAGTGTGCTGGGTTTTCGCTTGGCCTGAGTGAATGATGACAAAGGGAACCTGCTGGGCATAGGGTTGCCAGCCTCCAGGTGGGGCCTGGGGATCTCCCGCTTTTACAACTGATCCCCAGCCGACAGAGATTAGCCCCCCTGGAGAAAATTGATGCTTTGAAGGGTGGACTCTGTGGCATTGTATTATATTGAGGTCTCTCTCCTCCCCAAACCACGCCTTCTCCTGGCTCCACCCCCAAAGTCTCCAGGTATTTTCCAACCCAGACTTGGCAACCCTAGCTGGGCAGGCCCTTTGACTGTCTTTCCATTTCTTCGGGAAGCGGCAAAACCAGAGGAGGCCGATACGCCTCTGGTGGGCCATCCCAATTGGTTGGTGGGCCGAGTCTGGTCTGGTGGATAGCCACTCGTTCAGACCTGGAATTAGACGGCCCCTGGGACGAGGTGTGTGTCAAACCTGATCCGATAGTCCGTAGGCAGCCGTAGGGGAGTGAGACCAGAGCTGAGCCGTGTCTGGCAAAAAGGCAGAGTCAGCTTAATTGTCCTTTTGCTGGCAGGGAGGAGAAAACACACCCCGAAAACCAGGGAGTCAAAGTCATAATTCCTTGCCTGGCTTAAGTCAAAGCTGCACATCGCAAAGAGGAAGATATTTGTCTGCCGGGACTTTTTGTGCTGGCTGATAGGCGGCTAGGAAAAAAAAACCCCACCAAGATAATTTCTTCTGATCCTAAAAGTGAAGGCACATTCCCGACAGCTGACTGCCTTTTGCTACTTTAATTTGATACTACAGATGTTTTATTAAGTGAATTGTAATATCCTCTTACCTAGAAAGTAAAACATCAGGTGGTGATGTAATGGGAAGCTGTTCTTTTTATGTTCCTCCTGCTCCCCACTCTCTTGGCCTTTATTCGTTTAAGTGCATAGACAGGTGTTTCGAATAAGTCAGACACAGCTTTTTATGCACTTTGAGTCTCACATTCCTTGTTGCGCAGTTTAGCCAGGCAATATATTAACGCACTTGGCAGGTCTAGTCCCCAAACTGGGGCTGCAGGGGGCGGGGAATGAACCTGGAGTGAAACGTTATGGCTCACGGCTTAATCTCTCTCTGTGTGTGTTTTTTTTTTAAAGGTTCAGCATTCCCCTTTTGGTTTCAATTTCTGTCACAGTTTGGAGAACCGTACTCGTGTACTTGAGGACCGACTTGCATGTGGAAAGCCAGCCTGTCAGGTTTCTGGCAGGGGTCTTTTCCTGGGCTTGTTACTGTTTCAGAGTGGCTTTCAGTCTCCTTTCCCTTCCCCTCCCCACAACAGACACCCTGTGAAGGTAGGTGGGGCTGAGAGAGCTCTCCCAAGAACTGTCCTTGAGAGAACAGCTCCGAGAGAACTTGTGACTGAACCGAGGTCACACCAGCAGCTGCATGTGGTAGCGTGGGGAATCAAACCCGGTTCTCCCAGATTAGAGCCCGCTCTCCTAACCACTACACCAAACTGGCGAAGAAGT